TGGCGGGGAGCACAAGGGCAGGCGCTGACCTCCAAAAAAAGTAGTAATTTTATTGGAATACAAGAGTTTTTTCTTTTCGAAATCCGAATAGAAAGGGTACAGGTTGTATTCGAATACGTGTATGATTTCTATTCGAGGTACTCTGCTATTCGAGAAAAGTGCACCCACACCATTTCAATTTCGAAAAAAGCTCATGGACCACGGCCTCCTCGGCCTCCTACAGGCAGCTACTGGTCCTACGCGGTCCTGGCCCTTGCAAAGCCCCAAAACCTGAAAATGCCCACCCTCCCGACGACCACGACGTTGAAATTTGATTTGATTGATGTTGAAATGTGTCAGGGGGGAAAAACGCAACCCTGACGGGCTGCAAACATCAGTAGTATCTGCTCAATGCCACTCAGGGGGACCAACGGCATATCTCTAGGTAGAGAGCGCCAAGCTTGCCCAGGAAGGCACATAAGGCCAATGGGATTTGAGGCGAAGACCTCCTGAATGCTACTTGCGTGCCTTACCAACTGGGTGGGCCGCTGGTCGTCGTTTCGCTGGTCGTCGTTTTTTTAACGTCATTACTTGCTTGTTAGGAAGTTCAAAAAAAAGATGGGAATCGAACTGCGGACGGACCAGTCTTGTTGGGCCCCTTGAAGTGATTACGGACCATTTTTCTCTTTGGTCTTTGTTTCGTCTGAAGGTGGTAGGATTGACCTGCCGTCGGATCGGTTCTCCTCATTGGCTGTTTTTGAACTGTCGTCGAGCCAGTTTTTCATAGGTGTTTGTTCTTTCTTATGCTTTCTTTTGTCTTAGAATTGCCTGGTGCTATGTTAGCCGCACGTGCTGGTTGCGTTGTTTGTGAGAATGAGTCAAACAGGAGTCCGACTGACCAAGATCACACCATGACTCGTTGACGACACAAGAGAGAGAGAGAGAGAGAGAGGAGTGAGATGCAAGACCAAACAGGACAGCGATAATAGTGAAGGTGAGGACAGTGTGGCTGCTCTTTCTACCGCGCAAATGCAGAGAGGAGTGCGCAGAGAGTCAGCAGTCAGCGTGCTTCCTCCCCCGCAAACGCGCCGTGATTGAGTGCGGCGGCGGGTCTAGTTATAAGCCGGCAAGAGAGAGAGAGAGAGAGAGAGAGAGAGAGAGAGAGAGAGAGAGAGAGAGAGAGAGAGAGAGAGCCACGACCATCGCCCGACAAACCCAAGGTAAGACACAGCCTTTCATGCCGTCGCCTCCATCGCCATCACTCACAGCTCTCTCCCTCCTTCC